ATCACCTGGAAATAAGAATTGTTGTGTTTTTATTACCTTAGAATGAGCTGAAGTCCTCTTCTATGGAGAATGTTGACAAATCAAACACTGCCTCTAGATGTGGCCTTTTGTGAATTTCAAGGCCACTGTAGTTTATCCTATATGCTTGGAAGGTGAGCAGTATTCAGTTGGTTTCAATCTGCAACTTCAGTGCTAGATACCAATGAATCCTACACACTGGCCTTTCAGGATTAATAAAGACAATCAATCACTAATATTTTTGTCAAACTCTTCCAGTATAAATGCAGAAATATTTGGCTATACGTCTCATATAGTGTAATAGATTTTTATTTTAGTTTACAACATATGAATATAGAGGTGTGTATGTCATCTGCATACAACTTGATATTTAAAGAAAGAAAGTCAAAGCAGTCTGCAAACTCCTTCCATATTTATCTTTATCTTTGCCAAATTGCGTTATATGATGATGATTCCCCTACATTGATGCCTGTAATGTAGTTTCATTCTTCCTCAGGAGCTACAAGGCCTGGTGTTGGGGTTGCGTGAGGACCTGGTGGCGTTACGGACGTCTGCCGATCACATGGAGGAGAAGCTAAAAGCTGAGATTCTGTTTCTGAAGGAGCAGATCCAGGCAGAGCAGTGTCTGAAGGAGAACCTGGAGGACACTCTGCAGCTAGAGATCGAAGGCTGTAAGGAGGAGATAGGTGAGACTCAGTCACTCTCAGCGTTTCGTCGTTTACTAACCATTGATCAGCTATACGGTAGATAACTAACCAATCATTTTTCAACTCACAACTTGTGTGGGGATGTAGCCAGCACAGACAGCCTATTTTTCCTTTTCTGGATTTTTTTCTTTACGTTCTCCTCTGTTTCTGCTTTTGTTTCTTCTCCATTGATCACTCTCATTCAGACATCTTGGAAGGTATGACAAACGCTTTGAACAAGCCCACTTTAACTGCTTGTATGTATGTGTTGATGGTGTAGCTGTCAGACTAATAACTGTAGTGACCCTACAACATAGTGCTTTCCCTCACACGTTTTTGGAAATACTAAAATGTGCATCAATAGTAATTATATCAAGGATGTTTGTATATCCTTTTGATAAGTAACACTGTTGGACAGCTTAAAATAATTTGTGTGCACTCAGTCTAAATTTTTACAATTGTGTTGTTTACTGACTACAGTCACTTGTTTGGAGCTTTAGCTTGCTGGTCACCTTTTCAAAGTGTGATTTGGTGTCAAAGTCTTCTCTGTTTGTGATTAATTGTTCTGTCTGGTCTAACATTAACATGACGTTTAAACTAGGGCTGCAGTGACAATTCTTTTTTACATTTATTTTAATCAAATAATAACTTTACCTGTGAAATGTCAGTGGTCGGAGATCCCTGGGATCAGCAGGTCTCAAAAAAGCCTTAAAAAAGAATCGAATTCAGTTTTCTGTAAAGATGTGAGGTTATTTAATTAATATTTAAAGGTCATTTTACACCGCAGGGTTATATAATGAAATTCAAAATGCCTTAGGAGGTATTAAAATTAGGGAACATCTTACTTTTAATTTACAAAAATCTTGTATGTATTATTTTCTCTTGCTTGCTGTAGGCAGTAATGTTAGTTATAAAATGTCTTTGTATCCTCTTGTTGGCTGCCAAGAGACACATTTATTAACTAAAAGTGATATTATTGCTCACATAAAGTGCATGTTAAACATGTTTGGATTACTGAAAGGTTCATCTTCATATTTAATGCTAAAACATGAGCATTGACACCTGACAGATCTACTGGAGACACAGACAGGACTTTGATACCACTTCTCTTAAACTTTTAAGTGGCCAGTGAGCTGAAAAAATCAATGTGTATTAAATGTATTAAATGTTTCATGTTTCTTTCAAAGTGTTGTTTGTGTTTTAGTTCAACCCTGGCTTGAAGGATATGTTCATCTATTAGCTTTTAGGTTTTGTCGTGTAGATTCTCTTACTGTCTGTTTCACACAAGGCAAACAAACACAGCAGCTTTCAGCAAAGCAGCTTTCCCATCATTAAAGCTGCATTATTGAGGAACTGCCAAGTAATTTTCAAGGGACCACGTAATGAATCCAGAAAGAATATATGGGCTTTGAGATTCAAATAAGCACTGTGTACAGTATGATGCTCTAATGATGTCTCCTTCCCGCAGCATCTTTCTCCAGTCTGAAGACAGAGCTGGAGCGAATAAAGGCAGAGAAGGAACAGGTACTCTTTAATAACCTGCAGTATTACACCTTAGTGAGGAAACCGTCACGTACAGACTCATTTTGTCGAAAGACTGTTAAGACACTTCGATTGTATCTAGAGATTTCACAATCAAGTTGTTTTGCCCAATATTTTTACATTAACAACGGGTCAAATGATTACATGTAGCTTAAAAAGGGTCGATCGTAGTGATGATTCCACATAAAAGTATCGCCTGACTCAGCTCTACGAAGCCGTTTAGCTTCTTTAAGCTCATTGTTTTAGTTTTATGGCCCCCAAATGTCCCTATGTTTTCACAGGAGGCAGCTGTTTTTAGTAAAAAAATGTCAACTTTAGCGTTAAATACTAAATGGACTGCCCTTGTAGCACCTTTCTAGTCTATAAAATAAATAAGTAAATAAATAGATAAAAATATATAGGACATAATATGTTGTGAAAGTATATTAAAACATTTGTTTACCCAATAAAAAACCCAGTGTCACTGTAACTGATGATGATGATAATAATTGAGTCATACTGTATACTGTTATATCATGAAACTGTGATTTTATTGGTTATTGTACAGGAAAAATATCACATCATTGCAACTAGTGCAATTCAATAGTACGTAGTAAAATTAGATTTCAGACACAACATTATTTTACCTCATTGCTAAAAGATGTAGAGTAGCTAACTGTAATTTTCAGATCTTTTAAAATGCGACTCAATTCATTGTGGGATTTTTAACAGAAACTTACATGTTTGAATGAATTTTTTGTGGCATTGTGTAAATGTCTGAGGGCACTATATAGAGCAAGATTTCACACTTAGAATAAAACGTACAGTAAACATAGTGCACTAAATAGTAAATAGAGAGTGATTTTGGACACAGCTAAACAAAATTAGCGACTAGCCTGTGAACATAGCAAAGTATTTATCAGCTACAGAGCCAGATATTTCCTTTAGGAGTTTTTGGAAACCACAAATTCAAGAAGAATAGTGAATATTTGACTCAGAAATACAAAAACAAGACTCCAAATGAATGATAATGCTGCTCTGTGCCTGCTGGATGTGCAAAGTGGCAACTGTATGCTAACACATTCTACATAACAATATAAGGTGATACATTAATAAGTCAAATATTGCTTGTTCTGCCCCCTAGTGACCAAAAAAATCAACAAATGCAGCTTTAATATTGACAATCTGCCACAGTTTGTTTTTGATGCTACCACTGGGGGGCAGCAAAGTTGGACATTTTCAAATCATGCTGGCTCCTGACCATATAGATCGGTTCATCCCCTAAACAACACTGCTGTAATAATCTCTTCTTTATTTGATTTGCAGTGCCTTTGTGTGTTATTGATATATACTCCTACAATGTCTGTCGTTGATTTAGTTGCAGAGCAGTCTGGCGGAGAAGACTGAAACACTGGAGAGCCTCCAGGGCCTGAGGATCACGCTGGAGCATCAGCTCAAAGAGCTCACCACTGCAAAGGTGAGACACATTTACCTGTAGGCCTCACACACTAAAGTCTACTCAAAATGTGAGCGTAGCAGATCCTTCAAGAGGTTCAGTGTATAATACTTCCTTATGTAAAATTAAAGAGCTGCTGGATGAAGTTGAGGCAGTGTTCTCTGAATGCAAGAGAGAGCCTGTATATACAGTATGTAAATATTTTACAGCTTTTTAGGAAATCCAAAGCTGCTTGTGAACTGCTGTGATGACACTAAACTATTCATTCAGCCAGTAATGTGCAGTCTACATAATTTTAAATTATTCAGTAATGTTTCAGTTAAATATTTATTTCAGTTCATCTGTAATGTTGAAGTTGCAGTTTATTGGCTCCATTTAGCCTTTCTAATTGACTTCATCTGTGTGTGTGTGTGTG